TACAGGTGTTTATTAACAGTTGTCTACGCAAAATACTTCGGATCAGTTGGTCAGACACTATTAGCAACAACCTACTGTGTGAGAGAACAAACCAGATCCCAGCGGAGGAAGAAATTAGGAAGAAGCGCTGGAAGTGGATAGGACACACATTGAGGAAAGCACCCAACTGAGTCACAAGGCAAGCCCTCACATGGCATCCTCAAGGCCAAAGGAAAAGAGGAAAACCAAAGAACACATTACCCCGGGAAATGGAGATAGACATGAGAAAAATGAACAAGAATTGAATGGAACTAGAAAAGAAGGCCCAGGACAGAGTGGGTCGGAGAATGCTGGTCGGTGGCCTATGCTTCATTAGGAGTAACAGGCGTAAGTAAGTAACATTGGCATTAACTTGTAGCCAACTAGTATTAGACTACCGAAATTTTGAGTTTTCTTGTTTCTTCTTGTCCAGTAATGTTAGACCTTCTTAACATAAATTCGAGTTAAACTGCGAGGATTCTTATCTAAACTGAGATATTTTGTGGCAATTTTGTAATCCTGATGGTGTCGTACAAAAGCTTAGTACAAACTGATGATCACTCTGTTATCTTAATGAACTATCCTAGCTGCGATCTGTCACTCCAAGTGCTAAGACCAGACCACCATCCCTAAAGATATCTGGGGCTAGACTAATAGGACGTGCTGCTCTCCATCGCCCTGAATCAGATATAGCCTTCCCAAGCTCACTAAGAGTTATGGAACGTGTCGATTTCCCCTTCACACTGTTTCAAGATGTAGTGTAGCTAGAGATCAATTAAAACATTCTCCATAGTATTATACTCACTTTACAAATTTCCCGGACCAGTAATTATTATGAAAACGTTTTCAGGAATAGTCTCACTGATACACAAATTTTAATTCCCTGTTTCTTTGAAAAGACTGAAAGTATTTAGCTTTCCCTGACCAGTACTGTTGAGGATTTCCCTAGTTCTGATTGTGTTTTAAGCTTGATGGGTTGAATTTCGTAACATCAGTCAGTTCAGTAGATGCTAAAGAAATCCAAATAATTTTCTTATTCTTTTAGTTTAAGTCATTAGTAGATCTCACTGCTGATAAACTATCATGCCAACCTACACTGAGACGAAGATAATTTCGACGACTGACTTTCACGTCTCTAGATTGAACTTTGAGGGACCTTCTTGTCTATAGAATTTGTGCGTCCATTGAGATCGAAACAAAGCATGATCAGAGTCTGAAATTGTGTTCCAGAATGAATGAGTCTTTTATTGAGCCTCACTAAGTACGGCCAGTGGGAATATAGTATATTTGAGTCAATCTTGGTAGTCACTATATCAAATGATGTCTCTTTTTTATTAAAGTTGGTACTCGTCAAGTATAAGTGGTTATCTGATCATAGTTGTAGCAGTTTATCGCCGTTGTGTGTTATCTGAGCTGGAACACTGTAAGACCCTATCTAAGTGTCTTTCATCTAGGTTTAGACTACGTTCTTGGGTATTAAAATACCGTTCTACGATTATGACTGACCGTTTGACTTTTCGAAGGAGAACAGAAAACCTTCTGTAAAACTCACCCTTTAAGTTGCTCGGACTACAGTCGACAGGAAAGTAGGTAGAGACGACAAAGAAACATCAGTGTGTGTACCTATCTCTCTATCTTCGTATTTCCCGTTTAGTTAAAGAGCACACAGGCTACTGTCTGTTCGAATCCAGTCAAAGAGCCTGTTCTAATCTTGAACTTACTGACGTCTCGATGCTATCGAGCCACTAAATAACCAGCGGCCAAATCTCGCCAATCTTCTACATTGATTAAGTAAGGACAAGTCAGTGATTAAACCTGGATCCTGTATGCTTGTTTCATAGACACAGTGTGGTGTTAGTCATTAGTTTTAGCTCATAAAATATTTTATTCTAGTTTTCGGACATTCCATTCTATTCATTCTACTTGAGTCATGTTTGACTTTGTTAATTATTCGCTTATTAGCCTTGACTGTTTTCACATGAGCGTACATGTGTGTACACTTCATGTCCCATGATTCATCACATGTCTGTAGTTTATTTTGTCTGCCTATAAATATTGAGTAATGCTCGGCTTGAAATGGAGTTGACTTCCCAGCCATCTTCCATACGTGTCGTTTTTGCTTTGCTATGCTTCATTCGCTTCATGTACGAAATACATGTATTCTCAAGTCAATTCTCGTTATTCGACTTATTTAATTTCGTTATTGGATAACGCGATTTAAGTCGACGCCGATATACGAGAATAGGTGATAGCAAACATTCGTACGCTCTAAATGGAGTCAGAACCACAGGCCACTAAAACAGCATGGATATTCTAGAGCCCTAGCTAAGGAAGCTTGTTGTTCAGTTTGACTTGGGTTACAGACACTGTAAGCTACAACACCTACTTTAGAGACCAGAAATAACATTTCACGAACCCGAATAATCAGTGATGGCAGCGTGTGACAATAAAGATTAAGTTGTAGAAGAATGGTTAATAGTGATAATAGGAATATTAATGAGTTATAATGAAGTTTGACCATGAAGAACAGGATCTTCAGTGCTGTTATAGGACGGTAGCCACTCTCTGGCCCCCCACACAACGGAAGGAAACTTCGCATTGAAGAACCTGAAAGGGAAACTTGATTAGCAATGTTCTTGGAGACCTGGGGGCATGGCACCAGAGCCCAAATGACGAATGTTTGAGGCGGGTTATTTAGATGCATTAGTTCTGCGTCTTAAAATTCTTACTGGTTACTGTGGTATCAAATCATCTAATGAGAGTATTACATCTTTTTAGTATGGTGAAAATTGCAATTTAGAACTAGAGCGAAGATAATAAATATCTCTTCGTTTTAGGTCTTTTTACTTAAAATACCGCCTCCAAGGTGAATCAAGTACATTTTTTGTTAGTAAATTTAATTGATCAACCATCATGCACCCTCAGTTAACTTTATTCAGCCGATTCCTTCTGGTATACCGGATCGTAGAAGAATGATAAAACAGATCTATACATGTTAAAAACAGTAATTAAACTTCACATAAAATTACCTAATCATGAGTTGCTGATGAAATCTCATGCAGTGACTTTAATATACACATATCTATGTAACAAATAACTGATTTACCACTTATGCCGAGAGGGATGTTTATACATTACAACAGAAAGCAATACAAATCTTTTATCAAAGATTCTGTACTGTTTATTATTTTTAAGTAGTATGCACGATAAAAATTAATTGTCACATTTCATAACTTGGACTGGACATTCAGTCGATCCTCACTTGATGTTATGTATATCAAGGAACTACTTTATCAAAACTTTTTGGAAACGATAAGCATCCAGAAGCTAGAAATATCAGATAATATATGGTCATCTATTAATTTTTTGTACTTATTCCATATACACATTCCTCATAATACAAAAAAGTTGACGACTTTAACATTATTTTAGAAATTCAATCTTAGAAAGTTTGAATATTCAGTTCTTAAACTCAAGACAAGTTTAACAAGAACTTCTTAACAATCTGACTTAATTTGAAGACAGGTTTCAGTGTCTATCAGTGTTCATTGACAGAAAACAGAACGAGCTATTTGCAGCTTTAGATTCTATGCATTCCATCATTTTATGAATAAAAGACTTGGAAACACTGAATACATTAGCAACCAGAAAACTTTAAGAATAAAAAAATAAAACGTGACATAGTATATATTGTGAAGATGAATAGAAGCCTATTGATTTAGGAAAATTTATAAACGTTTCATTAATTTAAAAACCATTCCAATAACTGGACAAAATTCAAAGAAACAACGAATTTCAGGTTGATACACAATTGCGTTTTCAACAGTAGTTAGCAAACGGATTCTAATTTCTTGTCAAATGAAACACTTGTCTTACTGTTTACTAAATGTATCGTAGATTTGTCTCTTTAGACAACTGCATTTAGTATAAGTGTGTGCAGTGTCTTTCGAGAATAATAGTTTCCGAAGGATTTACCATCAGTTTGCCCAAATATTTGCTAATCTACTTCAATCATATATTCAGTATTGAAAGTTTAGGCGTAAATGATACCTTATGTACAGTTTCTTGCTCAGCTTTCCACATTCACAATAAATATCGGTTGAGAACATATTTATGAAACACTTTATAAGAGTTGACCACGTTGAAAATGCATGAATTTATAAATCCACTAACCAGATAATAAAAATTCATAAAGACGTTTTTATGATGATTAGGAATATTTGAATTATAGTATGAACTAAAAACCCCGGAAATAACGTAATCGGATCAAGAAGTACTAGATAAGCACGAACGAATGTACTGTATTCGGAATTCGAAATCAAGCATTCAACAAGTACAAAGGAATCATTAGTTCCTTCACACATTACAGTTTGTCAGTTATTTTCCATGATAATATATCGCCTAGTAGCAATCAATATCATGTTGTTCAGGCTTTAGTGTTGCGTTTAGTACTTCACCTTCAACAAGGGTTCAAATCCTACACGGAGTATTAACTACCTCAAGATTATAAACATATCTTGAGGACTTAAGCCTAAATGTAAAACTTCCTATTGGTTGTCTCTTTTCGCTAAACATATCTTTATGCGATACAGAACCCTTTCAATAAGAAGTATTGAGATCTAAAACCTCAAATACTTGGCAAGAAAACGAATGATTTCAATGAACTTTTTTTTATATATTTACGGCTATCTGTAAAACCATCCAATCGAAGATGAGCAAATTTGACATCGAAACTCATAAAATGAATATTGCTTCACCGAAACAATTGAAGAAAAGAACTTATCGTAAGGAGACTAGCTGATAGATCTGTTAAAGGGAACCTATTTAATCAGTATTAGTGAATTTCCACACTATATTTTTAGATCTTATTAATCGGAAAACATTGATTTACAGGAATAAAATAGATGTAAAGTATAAGGGCAACTCCGGATAAATTTTTAAAAAGTTATATATGATATGAATCGAATGTGAAATTTGCTTACCATTAGCATTAATCAGAAAAGTTAGATGATAAATAATATTCCAAAATATTATTAAAATTTGCAAATCGTTAAAACGTCGAGGGTATAACATGATTTGATTTGAAAAACTAAGTAAATTCAGCCATATATATATATATATATATGTATATAACAACCCTACAACTACATGACATAATTCTAATGGTAGACTATTCAGTATTCGTACATAAACATATATTTTGATAACGATGAACTTACCTATAAAATCAGTCTGTTTATTTTTCATATATGAAATTATAAACTTTATTCATTAGAAATATGCAGTTAATAACATTTTAGATAAACATATTTTATAAAGATTTAAATGTTAGCGAAGTATTCATGCACTCATTATTTGCCTTACGTTAATTTTCATGGTGGAGATATGATATATAAGAATTATGGAGACAATTATATTTACCTGCCAAAACAATTAACTACAAATATTCGAAATACAATCCCTTACCTAAGAACGCTAAATTGACGCGCAACTGATAACTATATTTAGTTGTCACTTTTATTTACTTAGGAACACCTGTGTTAATAAGAATAATGTGTTTCACAAAGAAAAACTGATTGACCTTATAAGATCATATAATGTTTTGTTGTGATGCGATATTTCTTTTCGCTCCTCACCTAGTGAGGTCAGTATGAAAAATAGACAATGGCGGCATTGAGGCTTGACCGAACCAACCGCTTGATTGTAAAACACAAAGTAGATGAGAATCGTAAAAACTGAGATAAAAAAAAGGCATATTTAACCGCAACGATTCAAGTGATTTCGGGACTATTTCTCGTTATTTTGGACAAGTCTCGTTAAGAATGATACTTACTTAAGTGACAATTTTTTTCAAAATTAAAGCAACTCCTGACATTTAAATGGATGTTATACAGCATATAGCTCGGAAAAAACACTCCAGTAACATACTGGTATATAACCATTGTTGTTCCGACACTATACAGAAGCGAACAAACACCGTGCATTAAACATGTCTAGATTGAATTTCAAACACTTAATAAATGATTAGCCTGAAAACTTACGTATACATTTAAGATTATTCACCTACTGGATACATGTTAGTCATTTTCCAAAAGATGGATTGATTAGATATTCCTGATATAACTATACTACCAATAGTTTTATTTTACCTCACTTACTGAATAAACATTTATTTAAGGGCTATTGGCAATACCCAGATGACCAAACTACATCAGATAGGATGAGGTTTGAACCAGTATTTAGTGGGTCTAAGTCCAATTCTTTAGCCACTGATCCATACCCCCACTTCGTGGTCATAAACATACTCTGCAAGAGGGTAATTTTTTGAGAGGACCAGGCTCTCTGGAACCAGCACAGCTTTTAGCGGCACAATGAGGAATACTGGTGGACCATGTTTAATATTGTGCAGCCCTACAAAAATTAGAGTAACACATATCGTCATTATGAAGTGAGTTAGTTATAAAAGCCACAACTAGATAGTTGATCGTAGCTTGGTCATGTATGATGGTAATTCAGACAGCTGTTTCAAATAAAGTACCTTCTAAACCCAAAGAAAAAGAAAGCATGATTCCATCGATTCTCCTTAGCAAAGGATAATTCTCAGTTAATATTCATCAGAAAATGTCAAAATATAGACTGTTCGGCTTACTGTAGCAGACAACTTGCAATCATTACACGTCTCGAAACTATATAAATGTGACAAAGACATCCCTATCATATACAATTGTAGCTAAGTCATTGTTATTAAAGATAATATGAAACAGTGATTGATATTTCCCTTTCTTAAAGATGACTGAAATGTTCAATACCATATTCCTGTAACTTCCTTTCCGAATGGGGATTACCTTAGTGCATAGGTAAACTAAAATAACTCTGCTATTAAAGAAAATCGCTCCCAAAAAATGTAAAATTGTTAAGTCTCAAGACTTGAGAAATTGATTTTTTTTCGTTTTAATTTTTATAGAAGTTATTTAGAAAAACGGGACGATCCACTTCGTGTCACACAAAACCTGAAGATAAAGCCTTTAGTCATTTTTAAAAACATTTATCCTAATCTTTACATGAGTGATTAAACGTCTTTGTCTCGTATTATTTAATAAACTACTTAAGAACGTTTAATGGTTAAAAATTCCTACTAAGGCTTAGTGTTGAAGTGGAGATAGCAATAACTTTGTTTTACCCCAATTTACTACTGTATACAGTCAATGGAATTGGCACGACTTTTCTTCTCTTCTATTTCTTTTAGTGTTAGCTAACTGTAATTGTTAGATATTTAGCATTTCAAACAGCTTATCGACCAGTGTCAACACAGTTATTTCATAAACTCCGTAATATAAAAAATTCTTTCATTACCACCTGAAGGTCCCTTATTTGTCAAATTACAGTGTGTAGTAAATAATCATTAAAACACTTAATGTCCTACCTCACTTGACAAACATACACTCTAAATGATGTTTCCCGTGAACCATAACGGTGGAGAGGTAGCACATTACAAGTACAAGACATGCATAGGGGTTTATACACGCCATATGGTTATTCAACAGTCAACTTCATAAATCCCAAGTTTTCTTTCCCGAACCATCAGACTAACAAATTTATAAAGTAGTTTCGTTAAAGATATTCATGCACATTATAGCTATTAATAGATCTAAAAACTTGTGAAACGGGGTACTTATTCTGACATACGACTATTTTTAAACAGTGAAGAAAAATAACTTATTTTTATTAGCCCTCAGTGTTATAAGGACCCAAGAAGCATTAGAAATAACTTAAAATATTACCTTGTCCCTTAAAGGTCGAGGCAAACCGCAATACTGGAAAAACCCCTACTAAGGTAACGATAAACAGTACCTGAATGAATATTACACACTGATATATTCAAGATATAAACGGAAATCACACCGCGAACAACGTGGGCTTTATGGCAGGATTAAAAACTTTTGACAAGTCATTTTTTGTAACTGACTCTTCTAAGGAATAAACAAGGGAAATGAAACCCAGTAATCACTCACGTAACAAGTCCAGAAATACATCTATTGTAAAGCAAGTAAAGACAGCGGAATTAAGACTTGAACAGCTAGAACAAAGAACGTTAGTAAGTAGCACACAGTGTTTCGATCGGAGACATTCTACATATTCCTAACACTATTTCTACATAACTTTCAGGCCGATTCAGTGATAACTTCCATTAAAGAGGCAAGAAAAAAGACATTCTGAGGTAAAGGAATTTATCAGTGTTGACTGATTAAAATATCTTGAGAATGACTAACAAAACACACGAATTTTAAAAATACAGAACAGTTTGTGTACAAAAGGTAACATTTAACCGTATCTGAGGTACCATGATAAAAACTTGAGCATATAGAAAATATCAAAGACACATGAAATTCACGAAGTTTATAAAGTGGATACATTTAGTAGTCATGCTTAAAATTTGTTTTGGACGGAAAGATGGGATATTATTCTGAAGTCAGAGTTCTTCAAAAAAATGGTTAGAATATAGTGTCCCTGTTTTCACAGTATCGTCTTCATTAACATCTCATCTAGTTCTCATATTTTCTGTAGGGAAAAATTACAAAATTCAATAAGGAATAGTGTCTATTTCTGGTTAGCAAATACGAAATCAAAGTTAATGCTCTGAAAATACACAAATGAGCCGATTAGAAGTGACGCAAACAGAATTGCGAAAGAGTGTCCCTTAGCAAACCAGCAAAAGGTGCCAAATGCAGCTAGAGAAGCAGAGTATTTGAGGAATTCTTTCGTATAAGTTACAGTCCATATTATTCTTTGCGTGTTACGATTGCGTGAGTTAATGTTATGAACTGTTGACTGTGATTCAAACTTACCAGATGTTTGCGAACCTTTTCTTGGCTTTACATCCAACACGCACCCACTACTAGTCCGCTTATATCCACTCTTGCAATCACATTTAAAACTACCAACTGTGTTCGTGCAACTTTCTCCTTCGCTATTACAAATATTGCTGTCAGCATTACATTCGTTTATATCTTCACATACATCTCCGTTTCCTCTTTGGTAACCGCTTGCACAAGATTCACAATCGTTCGCAGTTGAACCAGAACATTTGTTACAAGCAGGATGACAGGGAACACATTCGTAAGAACCAGGTTTGTTTAAGCAAAAATGTGTAGACCTGTTGCAAGGACTATCAATACATTCATTTATATCAACACATCCTCGTTGATCACCGGAGTCTACTTTGATCCATCCAGCGGCACACGCAGAACAGTTTTCAGGAAATGGACCAGAACAACCACCGAAGCACGACAAATGACATCGTGTGCATGATATCGGGAAGTCACTGTGGGACTGGAAATGAGTTTCAAAGGTGCACTTGTCGCATAACTCTCCTGTATATCCGTCGTTGCAAATACAATTACCTGTTCCAGAACGTGTCCCATTACCATCACACCTGCCACCAAAAAAGTAACATGGATGACATGGAAGACAAGAATTCCCAAAGGAGTTGGCAGGACAGCAAAACTTGGTCCGAGTGACGCATAAATCTTCCTCAAACCCTTCTACTTTATTAGAATCAATCCTGTATTCCCTAAGCCACCAATCTTCTAAATGATGCTCAATACTTTCTAAAAACTCATGACATTTAACTGCTTGCTTGACATCACTACAGATCCCTTCAACAATATCGTGGTAGCGCACTTCGCTAACAGAATAGCTCCCTAAGTGCTTTTCTTCCCACAAAGAATTCCCTCCTCCAAAATTTTTGCCAGCTGATTTGTGAAATCCTAAGATAAAACTTTTTGCAGCATGTTTACACTTATTGCAATCATCATCTGGATATATAGCTAATGTTGGGCATATGATATTATTAAGTGATACAAACAGTAAAAGTAACATTTTGACGCCTAGTCGTTTGTGGGTTTGCTTCTAGTCCGCAGATACGTACTAATTAGATTGCAAAGATGAATGTAATTTCAGTAGTAGTACTCGAATCAATCACGAATCCAGGAGGAAGAGGAAGAAATTGAGCCTAATAACTGATGGGTGCCGTGAATGCAGTATGGAGAGGAAGTGAAAAA